CGGGGACCCTGGGTGGCTGTAACGGTTCTTTCCACACTTAGTAAACTCGTGCGGGACTGGCTGGTGTCCCACGCCCCTCTGCTAATTTCACGGGGACTCGGATGCTCTCTGAGGGTCCTTCCGGATGGATCCGGGTCTGGGGCGGGTCTCTCCCCTGTGGCGCAAGATGGTGGCGCACCGTGACTGCAGCCGAGCCTGACGACACACCGCTGTGCTGCGTGCGAAGCTGGGCCCTGGTGGGGTGGCTGGAGTCGAGCGAGGGCAGGTCTCTGGGCCACGGCCTATCTGGCTGTGGCTGTCCCTCCTGCCCACGCCTCAGGTCCCCGTTGGTAAATGGAGGAGCCGCATGGGTCGACTTGCTGTGCTCGGTCCACTCTGAATCACTCCGAGGATTTTCTTTCTCCAACGTGCTGATCTGTTTTCAGAGGCACTTTCCCTCTAACGGAACCTGGCTTCGCGGTGGCAGAGAGGCAGTGTGGTGCAGTGGCCCCGGGAGAACTTCAAGCCCGATGGCCTGGGTTCATGTTTGGGCCTCATCACTTACAGTGTGGCCTCGGACACGTGGCTTGCCCTCTCTGAGCCTCAGTCACTTAGTGGGAAGCAGGCGTGAGATGGTAGCTGCCTCTTGGGGTCACAGTGGGGGTTAAACAGGCAGATGGGGGTCAGCGCTCTGGACGGGGCTGGACACCTGGAGCAGCAGCTCTTATTCTGGGTTTTCCTGTTTAGACCCCACAGGGAGGGGGCTGGGCAGGAGGTGATTCTGCACCGGGGCCGTCCCCGCAGGAGAGGTGGCTGCGTGTGTTGAGCTCCGGGCTGGGTGTCCTATTTGTCACCCATACTGCCCGGGGTCTTGCCTCAGTGACACAGGCAGGGCCTGGCCCTGCCCCACCCAGCAGTGCCGACTCCAGGCAGGCCCTCCTCCCTCTGTGGCCACCACACAGTGACATCAGCACCTGGGAAACCAAGGCCCAGAGCAGTGGTGGGACCTCCCCAGACCCAGGCGACACTGGACACTCGGCAGAGCGGGGGCCGGATTAGAATTCCAGAGTCCCGCCCGGGCCGCTGGCCGAGACACACCTACAGCCGGGAAGACGGGACCAGCCAGGCAGCTCCCCAAGGCCACAGGAGCAGAGTCCGTGGGAGAGCTGGGCCGGCCAGGGACGCTGGGCGCGAGTCCTGGGAACGGCTGGCTGGACAGCATGCATGGCTGCTTCCAGTGCCGTCCGCTGCAAACAAGGGCCCAGCGGTGCCCAGGACAACACTCCCGCCCCATTGTTCTGGGGCTGCCGGACCCTGGGACCATGCGGTGGCCACTGGTGGGGCCTGCCCGCTGCCTGCCCGGCCGTGAGAGCTGAGCCGCCTGCTCGTGGTGACTGTGCCTGTCTGGCCAGCCGGCCTGGCACGGGCGCCTTTTATTTATTTTGAACACATGCTCATTCCTGAGCCCAGTCTCCCTGGGTGAGGTCGGCTCGAGGAGGACGGAGGCCGCTTCCCCCACCCCAGGGGTGCAGGCGGCAGGGAGAGCAGGAGGGCTGGGCCGTGGGGCCAGGGTGCGAGCTGCAGGCCAGGGTCTGCTCTGCTGCTTCTGATCCTGCGCAGGACGGGCTTTGTCCAGGATCCTCCCACTCACCCGTGGCCAGATGACCCAGCCTCCCCTCCAGGCCTCCCGAGTCCCAGCGTGGCGATAACATTAGCAACAGTGGCTTATCATGTCCTGTGGCCTCCACTCTGAGCCTTTCCGCCTACTTGTCGCTCGTCCTGCACAAGGCAGGCTCCGTCTTCCCGTCTCGCAGGT